CCCACCAGGCCTATACATTATATCTCTTCGGTTGGGCTAGCCCCATACTACACAGGAACGTCAACCGAGACGTCTCTGTTACCAGCTTTGCAGCTGGTCATAGCAGTAGTCAAAACATGAAGCAAATCAATGTGTGTGTGTCTGTTGGTTAAGTGGTGTGTAACTAAAAACATTCTCACACGACCTCTAGTAACATGTCGTGTCTTAAACATAAGAACATATTATGGCTAAGGCTACAGTTCTACACGTCATAATAATAATATTAAACACCCTGTCTGCTGACAGTCATCAACTCTTCTCTCTAGTTATCCTTGACCAGATGTACCCTGTAGAAACTCATAAGCATGACTAAGCATTTAACAGTCTAACTAGACATCCTATCTCCACTAAACATTTCTAATACATAAAGTATCTATCCATTTTCTATCTGACTAAAAATACCTAACAGCACAAAGACCATTTAATAATGGACTGAGTTATTAACTGTTCTTAACTAATGTTTTACAGACTTCTATCACTGCAGCTCAGAATAACATGAGGAGATTCTGTGACAATGGCCTTTCATTAGAAAAATTAACAGAATTTGAATAAGACCCTTAAATAATAGTGCACTAATGTACAGTATATTCATAAGTCTTTCCTTAATATGTACGTCTAGAGTTTCTATAGCTTCTTATTCTACCCTAGGTAAGTGGCTACTGTTTACAGTTCAACCGCCGTTACAACTTTCCCCTTTGGCTATAAACAATTCCCCCTGCAGATATCACTGCTCCGCCTCCTATTATTTTCAGTGGCCTACTTCACTCAAGGTGCTGTTGCTGTCGCTTCTAATTAGCAATTCCGCCTCTTTCACATGAACGCGCTCGTAGCCTGATAGGAAAACCCAGATTTAACAGAGCCAGTTGATAACCGGCTTCCTAGTGCCGGTGTTCTGTCAGATTTCGCTACCCATCAAGACGTGCCACCCACCGTTCACAAAGTGGTTAGGGTTAGGGGGATGGATTGGGGCGGGGTTAGTCAGTCCATAGAGTTTGCAACAAGGTAGTATATCTCGACAAGGTAGCAAAATCTGACAGAACACTGGTAATCCAGGACGGCCAATGTTACGATCAGTGATGCTAGATAACCCAAGAGAACCAGAATAAGATGAACAAGCTTCGTGGTACAGGCCTTGGTGCCTGCCTAGGAGTCCAGGTACAAAACAAACCTCAGTGTTCACCTTGATGTGAGAGGTGTTAAAAAAAACCCTCACATTTTGGGTTTTTCCGATATGTACCATAATCATTGGTCTTTAGATGCAGCCTATTAACAAGTAAGCTGTATTCATTTCTATGCAGTGATCAACAGTCCCTTATTGAAGGCTAGATCTTATAAATCTTATTATCTCCATTTCTGATATGTCACGTAACGTTATCTATAGCAGCGACAAAGGTAGCAGCAAAACGAGTTATTAGATATTACCGAGCTATTTGCGTGAGAATAACTGGTGAAATGGGTCGCACTTTGCAAAGTAATGAAAGATACACACACATACAAAACGACCGAGCAGTTCGTTCGCCTACCTTGATACAGTAGCTTTAGCTTCTGTGGCTCTCCACGGGCTTCAGCAAACGTAATATCGTTTGTGTTCATAGAGTCAACGTGACATGCCCCGATAAAACAGCCAATAAACACACAATTAACTGTTATTTAATGACCTAAAACAGACTATTATTAAAACTTGGCTTCCTCTGTGATGGAAGCAGTTGTCCATGGAAACCGTACGGCTTTAAAATACTTCCCCGGCAACATTCATAGACAAACGTTCCTGTTCCTACTGCACTTAAATTTTATTCAACGCGATCTCCTTTGATCTATTTTTGACATAATTATAATTATGCAATAAACTACAAGATGTGTGTGTGTGTGTCAGTGAATAAGAGAGAACAGGCAGCAGGACAGTTTGTCTTCTATAAATTCTGCTTAGTCTGGCTGCTTTAGGATTATCTTCACTGAGCCTAACATTGGTCGTCACGGGTTAGCGGCACTGTGAAGCTGCATATCTCTGGCTCTGTTCCTGGGTTAATTCAACCATAAATGAAGTAAATAATATTATATGGCATATCTGTGAGAAAACTCGCTTATAGCGACACAAACATGTAGGCAATATTCCACTGGGTGAAATGCAAGAAACACGCGAAGTGCAGGAATTATAAGGGTCTTTTCTGTCCGATGGTGAAACTGTTACGTATATACTCGTGCATATACAAGTTGTTAGTGATGTCAGACCGGTACTGCTGCCAAAGCTGAGCGGAAGTGTAGCCTACTGAATACCTAATAAAGTCATCGGGCTGAAATGTTCATTTATAGCCTAAACATGGGAAATAGCCTAGGTAACAAAAAAAAAAAAACAACAAACAAACAAAAAAACAAAAAACAAACAAAAAAAATCAGAGTATTAGGTTGTTGTTACCAGTTATTGTTTTCTCAGCCAGTCAGAAGCATTGACACTGTCAGGAATCACGTCCGAAATAAAATTATCTTTGTGAAATAAAAATTTTATTTAGAAGTTTCATTGTTTTTAGTGTGATGTCCAGAAGCTCTGTTTTAAAACATGACCCATGCAAAGCCTAGAACTGTAAGATCACTTAATTAAACACATCTACTGATCCTAATTATTATTACTTTATTATTTGTACTTTATTGTAAACTATGACTCACTTAATTTCTCAGTGATATGACTGGTCAGTATCCATGCTGTTGACAGTTATCATGCTCCGGAGCAGCCTGCTGCAGGTCACCACTGTGATCTGGTCCACGTAAAAGTGAGCCAGCTACCAGAAAACCTGCGTTATTAGCCCAACTCTAACTGGATAACCCACTAATCTCGCTTAATGACGTAGACCCGAGGTCCACAAGGACCATGTCACACGCCTTCACCTAATTAAGCTTACTGAATTTATAGTCTGATAGAAATGTTTTATTTTCCTCAGAAATTAAATAACCTAAAGCAACTCTCGAGGCTTTATTATCAGATAGGTTACAGGTGGAGAAAAGCCCGATAGATTAGAGGGTGTCGGCGTCAGGAAGGGGGTGGAGCTCTGGTGTGACATTTCTGAGTGCCTCTGAATAACCACGCCGGGAGCGCGCATACGAGGGTCTAGAAGCGCTTCTGAAAACGGGCGACAACATCTCTGCAGGTAGGCTGCATGTTGTGATTGTTTTTCCTTTTAACCTATGGTTTGTATCCGTGTATGTGTTTACTCCTTTCTCGGAATGTACTTGCCGTCTTATGCGATACTAACGGGCAAGCATAGGCAAAAGGTAGAAGACAGGTGACCAAGAGTACAGCAAACGAACAAGAGAATGTGTAAATACGCGATTATAATTGTGTTGGAGAGTCTTAGCCCCTTGACAGCTTAGGTGGTTTTAACATATTATTGCTGATGTCGTCTGATTGTCAGCTCAACTGCACCTTTTCAGATCAGACGTGGTCCGCGGGGATGCGCTATATAGGCCTCGGTCCTCACCAAGGCCACCGGCGTTTACCCGCACGCTCCGGGATTCGCATCTGTCTGCCGAGCAGCAAACAGCCCAGTCTCATCAAGTAAGAGTAAAGCTATGGAAGTATGCTAGGTCTTCTTTGTAAGGCTTTTGCAGGCCGTAAATGTTGCCCAGTTAAACGGACAAATAGCATGTTGGATTAAACGTAGCCTTAAAAGGTGAAAAGTCTTTTTTTTTTCAGAGCGCTGCTGCTCCGTGACTGGTAGGCTTGTCCGATACAGATGAACAATAATAGGACAGTGAAACAGTAGCCTAAAATAGTCTGTTGTCCTCCATCTAACCAGCGAACAGGACCGCAAACTAAGAGCAGAAAACCACAGAGCAGCAACAAAAGGATTTTATTTCAGCCAGAGAGCGTTTAACGTTGGCTGGTGTCCTGACTCGCTGTCAGCGTCTGATACAGTGAACCTTCAGCAAGTTTGGACTGCTATAATGGATGTGACGCAGGAATGGTGGGACTGCCTACGTGCTCTCAGCTGCATCCCTGTACAGCTGATGATATCAGGACGCTCAGCATAATCGTGTCTCCCCCGCTTCTCAATTCTGATAAACAAGAAACAACAGGTGTGCTGCTACCATACTGTAGCCTGGCAGTCAGCATGGACCAGTGACTGAAAAATATACGAGATTAACGGAAGCAGCCTACACATTCGTCGTGGGGAAGTAGTGTTAACAGTGGGCTCCTGTGAGATGAAGTGGAGAGCGGAGAGTCGGAGACAGCAGCAGAAGGCGGCGACAAAGCCATGACGGCCGGTTTAGGACATTTTCACTAGCCTTCACCATCTGTACAGGAAGACACATAAACACATCCTGTTAGATCCGATAAAATGGCATCAAACTAAACTGTTCACCCCACAAGGTACTCAGTGTCCAAGGGGACTGTGTTAAAATAGACGACCTGGTTTTTTGCTTTGACTTCTCATTCATGTCAGTTTGCTATGACAAGACTGATATGAGACTGTACAGTGGGCTATAAATAGTCTAGCCTATATTCAGAACAGCCACTAAATACACAAGAAGAGGAAAGAAACAAATCATTTGCCATTATTGGTCTGTCAGATATTTAGACTTTTGGGGCTTCACATCTGTGTAGATATTACACAATGTGCTTGTGTTGCATCAGTAATGTAAGAAAAATAAGCAAACAAACAAAGCTAAAGTGTCTGAAAAATTGCGTTGTTGAGCTAACATCTAAACCAATCAGCTTAGATCAGGTGAGAGCCAGGTGTTTCCCATTGTGCCCTGAGCTCTTGCAGTTGGTGGAGAGCGACTGTGGCGTTTACTTCCAAAACCTGCAGCCGCCATGATCTTGTGAGGTTATTGTTGACCATGTTTGCGTGACGTCAGAGCAAGTCAGGATCAGGTCAGACATAAAATGAGCCAGAATTTAATGGATACTTCAACTGCTAAAATTAATTTATCAATTTAATTTAATTTAATAAACTGCACCTTATGTGACTTTCATGGTGAAGATTGCCTACTGGATTACACCAGGAAATTCTGGAAACAAGTCATGGACAACATTTCCTGTATTTACCTACACACCTGCTCTAAGGGGTTAAAACATATGTTTGACTGCATTCAATTTAAAAAAGAGAAGTCTGACTCTGTTTTTTTGATTAACCTCATTCTGTGCAGCGATTGCTGCTGATCAGTTCTGCACAGGCCTTGCTCATCTCAGACAGCCCTGTTCTTGTGATCCTCCTTAATACGTTCATGCTTGTGACCTGTTGGTTACTGGTGAAGGCTGGCCATTCAGCTGCTACAGCCATTTGACAGTCGACAACTAGCTAGCTGGAGAGAGGCAACCAGTGGGTGAGCTGGTGATCCAAAACAAAGTTAGTCATTTTTGACTTTTGACAAGTTTTTGGAATACACTTAAACTGGTTTGTGATTGGATCAGGATGGCGGCATAGGGAGTAGATAAGAATGATGATATGGATTGTGCTGACTGAACCCCAGCTGGATGATGATGACAGGTGACTGAAGAGCTGTTCGAGATCAAAGATTTTGTATGCCTAAATTATGGTGGTACAAGAATGACTGTTGGACATGGTACAGAATCAGCCACTGGCCTTACTTTAGTGTCTGCAACATTGGCAGGTATTTGCATTTGGGAAGGTGTAAAAGAAATAATACAGTAATAGAGAGTGACCATTATCCTATACTACTGAATGAATTGGGTGTGTGTTTGAGTTCTCTGCCAGTTTTACAGAATGGAGATGCAGAAGCGGCACCCAGTAGAGACAAGGCTGGTGTGTTTTGTGGATGTTTTTTAAGCAGTGCACAATTGAAGGGAGACCTGGGAGTCAAGAACTATGAAGAGAAACAAACTGATAGTAATGACTCAGTGGAGGCTCGACAGCCATGTAGAAAATGACAAGCCAATTAATGTGTTTTTCACTGTGAGAGAGCTGAGGGATGCCATCCATGCTGGAGCAGACAGTACTCCTAGGAGAGATGGGTTAACTTATGAATTACAGAAACATATGGATGTTTTGGTACTAGAAAACATCCCATGTCTGTTCAGCTCGGTGTGGGCAGAGGGTTGTTTGCCAGCAAAATGGAAACATGCTGCTAGAATTTCCATTTTGAAGTGATGCATCTAGCACCAGTACACAGAAATGCATGCATGCATGTGTTTTGGCCAGCAACACAGTGATAACACTTCACAGTGACACAGTTCAGTGACAGATCCACTACAGAGCCAATTTTCAAAATGCAAAGTCTTATCACCAACACCAGATGTAACAACCAAAAGCAGCCACACACTGGTTTCTATTAGATGTGTGCATCAGTGATGCTGCCATTCAAGCAGACTGTGTTTCACATATGCAGGAGACCTGTGATTGCTCAGCTGTAGGGGTTTAGCACAGAACACCAAACGGCCAAAAACATTGCCAAATGCTTGTGGGCCGCGTGCTCAACTGTTCATTGTTGCTGGTTGACATGTAACCCAGAATGATGCAGAAGCAGTTTGGTGAACATTCAGTATGTTGTGGAGCCACTTTATCATGGAGTATTAAGGGGAGAACTTTTTTTAAACCTTTGGGGTATTTGATGACTGGTTATTCCAAACACTGGTGGGGTCAGATTTTCATCTTTCATATGGCAGGGATGTTACCTTCTGTTCCCATGGGAAAGTAGGTCTATAGCAAATCATCCCACTGGTTTGTGTGAATGTGGAAGTTCTAACACTGTTCAGCATGTTTACCAAGAGATTAATAATTATATAATCAAAAAAATGCTGATATTCACTTTTAAAGATGATTTTCTACAGTAGTGAAATCTGCTGTTTGGTCATGGCATCTGCACAGTGGTATGTGGAAGTGAGAAAGCGAGATCTCACTGCCAGCTTCACAGTGAAACATCAATAGAACAGCAGCTATTGGCTTAGGTTCTTGCCAGGGTGTTGCAGTTATGGAAATAAGTTAAACACTCCAAAATAGTGGAGACTTGTTTTTTGTTTGACCAAGTGTCTCTCTCTCTCTCTCTCTCTCACACACACACCCACACACACACACACACACACACACACACAATGAAAGATAGCATCCAAGTGCCTTTCATCGCATATCAGCGATGAGAAATGATCCCTGTGTGAAAGCTTGTTTGTATACCAGTATGTAAAGGATGTGAGGATTGGTTTTGCATTCTACACCATGAGAGTGAGGACACACCATAAAAGGGCTGTTTGAAGGTTATGGGTAGAATTAGGTTTAGGTTAGGGTAAGGCTTAGGGTTAGAGAATGCACTGTGTCCTCACAAAGGTAGCTATACAGACGTGCATGTATGTGCCCGTTTGTGTGTGGAATGTTAAGGGTCCTATTTTAGTCTGGATGGTGATAGTTGGGGTTCCTGCAGAATGCTGCATGGGGCACACTGGGCTTGTGGAATGTGTGGATGATGTAGGTGGGCCAATGGGAGTGGGCGTGGGAGTGTGGACTCAACATGAACCTCTCCTGTCCTCTCAGTCAACCTTTTCACTGCCTAGTGATACCTTGTGTCAAAGACAGCACATGAGTGTCTGAGGCCTCCGCAGGCCAACACACGCTTTAGAAATGACAGTGCCTGCAGTCCAGAGAGAAACATACATTCTATAGTGTAAGTACACTGAGTAAACTGTATTAATCAGATCATCTTCAGGAGTTTTAGTTTTTCATAATTTACAACGACATTGCTAGACCTCAGGTACAAAGGCAGCAGAATAATGGGCTCATGAACAGGATGAATTAAAGGTACTCGAATCAGAAACAGGCAAGGGAACAGGAACAAAGCAGCAGCTGGAACACAAAAGCAGCAAAGCAGTTGGCCATGTCGCAACAGGAAAGAGGCTGGTACTTATGTGCTGGCATTAATTGGGGGATCAAGTGACGGGTGGGTGAATGAGAGAATCAGGACACATGCAAGGTACAGCAAAATCGGGTGACTAGCACAGGGCAGCAAACTCAAAGACATCTGGTGGGCAAGGAGGGTATGACAAGTCTGTAAAAATGCATGTGGTAGAGGAACAGGCTTGTTATGGTGCAGTCAGACTGGAATTTACTCCTCATTCATTTCTGTGTGGAACATGATGAGACACATGCAGATGCAGATTTAACCCTGCCTCTTCTGCTTTTTTCGTTCCAAAACCAGA